GTTTCTTGGAATCAGCTGTAATTATTTACTTTGGAGAAAATATAGAAAGAAAAAATCTGGGTGTATTCAGTTTGGGTGTTCTTTATAGATTACAAAATTTTCTGATTAATCATTTTTTCTTCATATAACTACTAATTACTCAACTAATAGGAAGGTTTTCTTCCTCTCTTCACAAACTGCCTTCTTCCCTTCCCAAAATCTTGCTGTGCCGTCGGACTAAATTTGCAGATGTTGCATAGTCCAAGGATGAATAGCATGATATGACCTTATTTTGAAGTTAACCCATGATTTTGGGGTTTAACGAAGCTTATGTTTGTTGCTTGAGCTTGACGTAATTGTAATGGATAAAACACTTCTAGATATATGACAAGCTGGTTCTACTGTAGGCTGTAGCTTGTAATTGGTTTATTACCTGTAATGGATTTTCTTTTTCTTGGGCCTTGCACTAATGTAGTTCCGTTTTCTCTACTTGTGTTTCGATGAAACTCATGCTTCTTTTGGTTCTGTTGTTTTCGCTCTCAATTTTGCTTTTCAATCTCCTCCGATATTTATTTTTTCTTCCTTTGATTAGCATTATATGTTGTTGTAATATTCAATGCATTGCTTAATCTCCTTCGTGAGGCCGGATTTATGTTGGAGTTTTAGCTTATGTGTTAGGTAGTAAGAAATTAGCGTGCATCTTGATGTTTGAGTGCAAGTTTGTAGACAAATTTTACACATCTAAAACTTTTAAATGCCTTTTCTTTCACACACACCCTACTCAGACGTGTTTCATGTCATCAGTTGATCTTCACACTCATTACTTGTATCAGGTACAAGAACTCGTACTTGAGATGTGAGTGTTTATGTATGCACTCCATTTTCTTGTGTAAATTCAATCTTACTACATCTAGTTCCTTTTATCCTTCTCAAATGTATGAATTACATATTATATGTTTTTTGACAATCTTTTCTCTTGAACTTATCTAGATTATGTTACCGGAAGCAATTGCAATTGTTATGGCCCCTACCGATACATCCAGGTAGATTCTCATTTCCCCTAATGATCAGGTCGTTGAATTCAATGAAATATAGGAGTAAAAGGTGCAAATACAAATGTTTTATGGTTAGACAATTGTTTTCTGTCATGGTCATGTTTTGAGATGCTAATATATCTTTAACATGAGGTCCCGTACCATAGAATGGAGTCACTTGATGCTTGTACTTGATATTTCAGAAATCCACTTCAGTATTTAGACAGTTTTCCGTAAACTTTTTGTCGATTTGACTTGTTTGCCCCCGTGTCAAATGTAAAAGGATTAAATTCCTCGTTTCTATGGTACAGAGATTAAATTGTACTTTTGACTATAGTACGAGTGTTCTAAATACTTTAACATCTTTTCTTGCTCTGTACACTGAAGCATCTTTTGCTTTAAAACTTCATTTTGTCTAGATGATGAAAATGGGAAGAGGGGATTATTCACGTTTCTTAATTGAGCAATTTTGCTGGAAGCTAAATGATCAGAAGTAGGTTAAATCCGATGATCAGAAGTAGGTTAAATCCGATGATCAACATGTATAGTCCCCTATTAGTTTTGAAAGGATATTACGTTTCTGAATCGAACAATTTTGCTGGAAGCTAAATGATGTTGAAAATGATCAGAAGTAGGCTAAATCAAATGATCAGCATGCATAGTAGCCTATTTGTTTCAAAAGCATATTACGAGTTGGCTAGGACATTTGCATATTCCTTCCGGTTTTCTTCAATCAACATGCTATCAACACCCTGATTTTTCCGAAACTCGAAATCTCTATCAATGGATTTTTTCTTCCTTGGGTTCTTTGAACTAGAATATGGATCTCTTTCACTATCCATTGCACCTACATTGAACTTCCTTGGCCCGGTTTTGGAATTTCCAGTGGTTTTAGCTGATATCTTGTGTCGCCCCGAAGCAGAATCCATAGGCTGCACTCTTCTACCATGCAAGTTGGAACCTATAGGCTTTTGATCAGTTATACAATTTTGCTTCTAGTTGTTCAGCTTGAATGCACCGGAAGCATTGCGCATTTAAGATTTCTTATGCAAGCTCTTTTGAGAACTTGATTGGCTCTTTAAGGATTTATTTGACTTAACCTCACTCTCGTCTTTTGATCCTATCATACTTGGGCGGCTTCTTGAAATCAGTCCTCTTTTCTGCACATTGATTTTTGCTTGCATTGCAAGCGAAATAGATTTCCCCTCACTCTTTATAACCGGAGAAATTTCTTCGATATGGGAAGTCAGAACTGTGGTGCCTATGTTAATCCATTCCAGCTCTTGGTTTCTGTGAGCCAGGATGTTTTCTGTGCTGCTTCAGATTTCTCTTTTAAGTCTCTAACTCTCACAGGCACACAAGAAGATTGAACCGGAGGCTTTCTTTGCGCAGCCTCCATTTTTTCTTTGAAATCACGGACTTCCACAGGCACAGTGGACGATCGAACCAGTGGCATTTTGGCTCTTGCAATGACTTGAGGACCACGATCGAGAATTCTAGCAGCTGCTTCCATTATACGAGCAGCATCCTTTGTAGGATAAAAACCCGTACTCTTTATCGGGGACAAAAGTTTATGGTGTGTAATTGGATTTGTTTTAGCTGGTTCGGAGGCAAACTTTTGGTTCACAATTTCTCTATAGGATTGCTGACCATTTTCCGAGGTTTTGAATCTGCAAAGTTTCTCAGAGGGCTACCCTTGATCTTGTTGAATGGATCATCTGGATAAACTATTTGCTCATCACGATGATAACTAAGGTTTCTGTTATGGAAATGAGCATCTCGAAGAGATTGAGTTTCGAAAAACGGGGTGGAGTACAGGTAAGAAGATGTAGGTAACGAATCTAATCCCATAAGTCGAGCCACTACGCTCGGGGCCTTTGCTCCATACATATCATCATCCGTAACCGAAGAAGCACAACTATAATCACTACTTCCTTTGAAACTCATCCTGGCTCCCGTTTCATCCTCTTTCTTTCTGCAATAATCACAACAACACTTGTAAAAGCAGTTTCAGATAATCATCAACCCAATATCATCTCAGATTTCTTTGTTCTCACCAGATGAATACGTGTCATCGGTATGTTCCCATCACTTCTCTTTCCCTGTTTTGAACACTAAAATTTTGAAGACATAAACCAATCAGAAACAACATATGATGTTAACTATTATGGTGCAAGAACATGATTTTCCCTTGAATATGCATGTGACAATGCAGTGGGAAGGCAGTTATACCTGGAAAATTGCTCGAGAATAACTTCTTCCGAGTCTTTGCAGTCCAGTCGAGTAGCTGAAAGAATCCACCTACATAACCTCTTCCATTCGTCGAACCTTCTTTGTTTACACCCATCCTACTAAAGCAAAACCCCGAGAACTCTACTTATATGAGAAACACAAACAAAATCCGATCAAATTTGCCTGTAGTTGTTAAACACAATGAACAATCAGCTACCAAGGATTGAATTTATAACACAATCAGACACTACAATATAGCTCCTACAAGATTCCAAACCACTGTAAGATGTTAAAAACACTTGAATTTGTGAGATAATCCCTTTTTCTACAAACTCCACTGTTCAGATGTCGAGAATATATCCGATTAATGAATGAAAGATCCGATTTGCATCAGTAATTCGACTTCAGGATGTCCAAAACATGCATCAAGTTTAACACGGATAACTGCAGTATACCAGTCTTCATTTCACATCAGACTTGAAGACACATTGCAGAAATTCAAACAAACAAAATTTGTCGAACAAACACGAGAACTGAATAACATTAAATGAAAACGCAAACCATCTCTAAATCCTTGGATTCCACACATTCCAGGCACATTATCAAAACTAAGCTGATTAAAACCTACATTCTAGCATTAATCCTTGAAGTTTCTACTGTAATGGGAGGATAAAAACATATAAAGATTAATTGCATTCACTCATTTCACTATAACAAATACCTCAGATTCCCAATCAGTAAATCAAACTATATATTTCTTGTATAATGAACCAGGCAATTCAATCTCACTGAAGTTGAGCATTCAAAATTCTTAGTCATACCCACTTTCCCTGATTTTCTCAGCTACCAAACACGCCCAATGTAAAAAAAAAATCAAAAATGATAAGAAAAAATATCATAAAAGCAACAAAACACCTCAAAAACAAAAACTCAAATCTTTAAACGAAAGAACACTTACATTGAAACCAATGAATAAGATCAGCTTAACTTAAGCTGAAATTTTTCAACTTGTATATACTTCGAAGCTGAAAGTTGAGATTTATTGAGAAAAACAAAAGTGGAAAGGCTCCTCCTTTGAATGTGAGAAAGGGAGAGAGAGAGAATCTGTAGTTCAAATCGATATATGCAGACAGAGAGTGAGTAAAGATGGGATTTTGATTTTTTAAATAAAAGAAATATTATTAAAGGAGGTAAATTTAAAAAGTTTATAACGTTTCTTTGATTTCAAATCCCAAACGGAGACTTTGAGTGGTCCTTGCGTTTTTTTTGTTAAAGTTACACGTCTTTTACAAGTATTATGTGAACCACTTGATGGCTGAAGTACACGTGTTGGGGAAAAAAGGCTTTTCGAAATGAAGCGAACATGATAAATTAAGTTCCATTAATCCAAAGTCAAATTACAACTACCAATATCATATACTTACTTCACAATGAATTTCTTTTAGTTTAGTCTTAGTAATAGAATTGAGCGTTGTTTTACCTAAAGTTCTTGAATTCGAATGACACAGAATGTGTGTTATTAATGATTAAAAAAGTGTAAATATTTTATAATTTTTAAAAGTTTAATAACTAAAATGATGATTTGAGCATTGTATTTGACTTATTTGACTCAAAAATTTAAGGGACAAATTGATATGTGAGAAAAAAGTGGACAAAAAGGAGAGGGAATCCAAGCACAAATATTTATCTGTTCTTCAAATAAACCATGTCTCTTTTGCTAGGGATGACCTTTACTATACATTATTACTTTACTAGTACTGCAATAATAGGCTTAATTGAAAATGAACATTTCAATTATGTTAGCACTTCAAGTATAAACCATGTCAATTCCTGGGGAAACTTATAGCTGCTGGAACTCACCACCCTCAACTCATTTCCGTCGAACGCGATAGCCGTTCTTCATTCCGGCCACAAACTTCCTTTAGTATGTAGCGAAATTTCTTTCTTCTTCCTCTTTTTCACTATACCAGTATTTCTTTGAAAAGTTTAAGATGATCTGAAAGTAAATGGTGCCGAGTGAAGTTCATTGCTCAGTTCTTCTAGCAACTGCACTCACATATCCCACCATATAATAAGCATAACTTTTTGAGCACATAGCGTGACGTGAATGAACGAATAGACTGCCTGATGTTCCGTTGCATCGGCCGTGGTTTGAAAACCACTGGCTAATCTGTCTGCCCTTCGCAGCCTAAATCCCAACATCATCATTTAAATACACAAATCCTAGAGCCCGGGAATCACGTTTACCTTAGTACTCCTCCGGCTGCATCGTTTTATAATATCCCGGGCATCTTCCGAGTAACCCTTCTTGACTAAAGAGTCCAAAACTAAATTGCATGTATAAGGATCAGGAAAACAACCTTTCGCTTCCATCGAGTGAAACACCCCAATCGCTTCATCATATCTTTCGGATTCGAAAAACGCCTTAACAAAAGCACCATAAGTATATCTGTCGGGATCCAATCCCAACGTCAGCATGGTGACCAAAAGCTTTTTAGCGTCCTCGATCTTCTTCATTCTACAAAAACATTGAATGAGAGCATTGAAAGAGAAAACATCAGCACTTATTCCGGCTGACTGCATTTTTCTTACAAGTTTCATTGCTCTCGCAACATCCCCGATTATGCACAAAGAACGAATCAATATATTGTATGTAACATCACTCGGGGTGACATTCCACTGAAACATTTCGGAGAAACAATCAAAAGCATCATCAAGCATGTGTGCTCGACAAAGTCCGTCAATTAGTGAACTAAATGTGAAGATATCTGGATCAAAACCGGACTCTAGAAGCAATACCAGAAATTTCCTAGCCTCATGTACTTGTCCGATCTTGCAATGCCCATCAATAAGGGTATTGAAAGTAACAAGAGTAGGAGCTATACCTCTAAGGCACATCTCACTAAAAGTGTTTCTTGCCTTGTCCATCATAGTAGCTTTGCATAAGCAATCAATCACCATGTTATACGAAATAATGGAGCATAACAACCCACCCTTAGTCATCAAGTCGAAATACCTATCTCCCTCGGCGCATTTTCCTATACCGTACAAGGCTTGCATAAGTGCAAGATATGTATTAAACCCCGGTATCAAACCGAGCTCAATAAAGCTATCCAAAATCCGACATGCCTCATCAAGATCAAATCCCTTTATCAAACATGTCATCGTAAGGTTAAATGTCAAATTATCAGGCAGATAGCCTCTCCCCGAAAGTTTCTTCATAAACAATGCAGCTTCCCTAGCCATAAAATGTTTCGATAGACAAAACAGAAGAGTATCACAAGCCAATCTCTGCATCATAGGCTCCTTCTCCAAAAACATTATCAACAACCCAAATGCCTTAGGTGGAGCAACACAACGGAAAACACCGTGAATCAATGATCTCATGGTGGCTTCATTGGGGAACACATTCCTCTTCCTCATCGTCTCGAGAAGTCTAAGCGCATCATCGACCCTCCCAGCATTACAGTACCCATCGATTAAGATGGTATAGGTATACACATTTGGCAAATATCCAAAACTTTCCATCTGCTTGACTAACCGAACCGCCTCATCGACGACACCGGTTTTACAAACACCATGAATGAGAATATTATATGTAAACCTATCCGGTTTACAGTTATCAGTTGACATTTGTTGGAACTTCAAATAAGCTAAATCGAGTGAATTAGATTTTATCAAAGCATCAATCACAGAGTTATACAATCTCGTAGTAGGTCTAAGACCCAAAAATGAAATCTGCCCAAATATCTCGGCACAATACTTAGCTAATCCTAATCTCCCCCAACTCCCAATCAAAACACAAATCAAATCTTCAGTGACACAAAACCCTGAATTCCTAATATCATTAACCAGTTCAACAGACAACAAAAGGGGACCTTTCTGATAAAGGGCATTAGCTAAAGTGGCCTTGACCGATCGATCCTTTGCGAATAAAGGGTCGATATTGGAAACCCAGATATAAAATCTCAAAGGGGACAGTAGGTTATCTTGATTTTGCAAGAGACTAATCACGAACTGAGGATTCAAGACTAGTCTCTTGGCTTTTAACTCGAGGTTGAGCAGAACAAACCAATCATTTCTGGAGAGAAAATGGGAAATGTAGTGATGATTGATGGGAGAGTTACCTGTTGAAGATGAAGGGGGAGGTTGAGTGAGTGGGAATTGTGGTGAAATGGAAACGCTTTTTGGGGATTTTGTGAGGTTATGGAGTGAAGGTTTTGACCTTGAAGCTAAAGAGGAAAGCCTTCCCATGTCCCGTCTGCAAATCACCAGCTACAAACCAAATGGAACCAGGTTTTTTTTCTTTTGGTTTTAGTTTTGCAAGGAATAAAGTTTCCAAACGACGTCGTTAGTTTACCAGTTAAAGATGGACAATAATGTCGCAGCCGACCTGGCCCGGTCCAAGCTTGGAAAAGAATGTTTACATTCAGATTGGTTCAATCTTATATTTAATAGGTTTAATACCCTTCTAGTGCCTAAATTACACTTTAAATTAATTTTTTGTGTTTAAAGAATTTTTTGTTAAAAATAGTTGTCTAATATTTTCAACATCATATTTTTAGGTGCATGGACCATATCAACCATTATATTTGGTTGTTATCTGACACGTATTACACATATAAAATTTTAAAAAGGTACTATTTAAAAAAATATACTTTTAGGTGTCTAGCGTTATATTTTTATTTTTTAATAATAAAAATATTATTTTTAATAAAATTAAAAAAAAAAAACCACCCTCGTCCCTCTCCCTCCCATCCCCCACCTTCGATAACGACGAATGGTCACAATCGATTGTGTTTTTGTTATGAGTTGGGCGAGGAATTCAATGGCGGCGGCCGTGTAACTTATGACCAATAGTAACTGTCAAAATCATCGAAAAAATAAAGGAAAACTTAGAAAACCGGTGACCATTCACGACGTATTTTACGATGATCGACGCAGTTTCACGTTGAGTGAGGGACTGAGTTTTGGTCACGGTGGTGAGACGGTTCTGATAATATCAACGGTGACGTCCACAGACCAACGGTGGAATTTGGAGTTTTTTTAATTATAATATTAAATATTTTTAAATAATTTTTTTAAAATTTTATAAGCATGATATGTATCAGATTATGACCAAATTTAACGACAATTACAGTCTATGTACCTAAAATGTAACTTTGAAAACGTTAAGACACCTAGTTTTAATAAAAAAAATCTTTAGACACCAAAAGTCAATTTGAGGTATAATTTAGGCACCTAAAAGTGTATTAAGCCTTAAAAAATATATAATAATTGGTACCTAAAAGTATAATAGAGAAAATTTTAGACACCTAAAAGTGTATTAAGCATTAAAAAATCAAAAAGAAAATATAGGCACCTCAAAGTGTAACGAAAAAAATGTTAGACACTTATTTTTAACGAAAAACTCTTTAGACACCAAAAATCGATTTGATGTATAGTTTAGGCACCTAAAAGTGTATTAAGCCTATTTAATAATTATAAGTTATATTAAATCTAATTATTCAAAGTAAGGTTGCAAATGAATGGAACTTGGACTAGGTAATGTCTATATTGGTTCTTTATTTTTTAAGGTGTTCATGTTTGATTCGTATTCGTTTAAATTTTTAATACCGTATTTATATTCATTTATTTATTTTTGAAAGTCGATTCGTTTAACATTCATGACCATATTCGTAAATTTTATTTATTTATTTATTTATCTCGACATGTTCAGTTAACGTTTATAAACATATTTATTTATATGATTATAGTTTCTTCAATAGCCAACTGTCTTTCTTTATCCTTTTATTTAGAAGGTACAGAAGAATGATAAAATCACACAACTAGTCCTTAAGCTCCATAGTTTAAATTCCGAAATTCACACTATATTTGATCTAATTTCTACCTTCATCAAGATTTAAAAAAAAGAATAAGTAAACGAGTAAATTTATAAACGAGTTTTTAAATAAGATTGTTTGTAAACATAAACACGAACACACATCTATTTGTGTTCATCTATTTATTAAATGAACATAAAAACATCTATTCATACTCATTTATTTAACTTAAAATTCAGTTCACGAATGTATGTTCATTTACACGCAGTTGCAGATCTAAAAATATTTTTCAGAATAGACACTACCAGTAAAATAAAGAACTAGACGAAGAAAATTTAGATTTCAGGGTTACACATATGACTACCCTCAAACATATGCGGCTCCGCCACTGTTTACACCCCTGTTCGAAAAACAAATTGGATGAGCCTTTTATTGATAGAACAACAAACTATAAAACACATAAAATACAAGCAGTGTATCAGTTGTACGTAATTTCACAATTACAGATTCGGATCTCAGTGAAAGGAGAGAATAAATACGGAGATATCTCGATTCTAAATTAACAATTATAACTTAACTTTACAGGTCCCGACTCCTTTGCCTTGGCTCTTGGTACATGTTTCTGAATCTTCCCTGTAGCTGTCTTTGGCAATGGACCAAATACCACTGATTTCGGGACCCAATAAGCAGGCATCTTCGACTTGCAAAACTTTATTATGTCCTCCGCTAACCGTTGTTCGTCGGATCAATCCGATACGTTGGGCTTCAACGTCACGAAAGCACAAGGAGACTCTCCCCAAAGCTCGCCCGCCCTTGCCACCACTGACGCCTCCAGTACTGCAGGGTGATGTAGAGACTGTTCTCTACCTCCACACTGCTGATATTTTCGCCTCCTGATATTATAATGTCTTTTGATCTGTCTTTTATTTCGATATAGCCATCCGGAGAGTGAAACCATCCGTTCGCAAACGTTTCCTCGTTAGCTTTCGGGTTCTTTAAGTAACCTTTCATCACAAGATTACCGCGCATCACTATTTCTCCGATAGTTTTTCCATCAGCGGGAACAGGATGACCAGTTTGGGTACTGATGAGTTCTAGGCCCTCTAAGCCAATATATCGGACACCTAGGCGTGCATTTAAGCGAGCTTGGGTTTCAGGTGGCAACGAGTCCCATTCAGGCTTCCATACACACACTGTTGAAGGACCATAGGTTTCTGAGAGACCATAAGTGTGGGTGACACGGAAGCCTCTTTGTGACATTCCGAAGAGAACAGCAGGGAGTGGGGCAGCACCGGCTGTCATTACACAAACAACATGGGGAAGGGGCAGAATTGTATCTTCAGATGGGGCATTAACTATGGAATTGAGCACCACAGGTGCAGCGCAGAAGTGTGTCACGCCATACTTCGCTATGGCTGAGTAGACGCCCTTTGCTGTTACCTGCAAATGCAAAAGGAACAAGATCGGTCATCGGCAATTAACATGCAATGACCATAGCTAAAGGACATTTGAGAGCAAAACATTAGCATCGACCACAAATTTGTAAGGGATGAAATTACTCTTGCAGGCTCAAATCATTACATGCATGAAAGGGGAACATGGGAGGACACAATTACCCACATTGGCACAACACCGAAGTACAAGGGATGTATGAACTCTCAGAGTTTCAAATCAAGACATGAACAAAAGCATTACACCGAAAGGCCTTATAGCACGATAGATTTATACCGAATACACACCTTCCAGGTTTCAACATAATTAAGCATGTTAGCACTGAAGCAAAAGTACAAGGGATGTGAGAACTCTCTCGAGAGTCTACGGCAAGAAAGAAAACATAAAATTGGAATGCCTCATACCATAACAGGATTATCCAAACATACAGATTCCATATTTCAACATAATCATACATTAGCACCGACACCAAGGTACAAGGGGTGTAAGAGTTTCAAATAATGACATGAACAAAAGAACATCAGATCCTTCATAGAAGAACAAGAAAACATTAAACCGAATATGAACCTTCAAGGCTTCAACATAATCATTCCTAGAGCTAGATCATAGATGATTTGAGAACAAATTAGCTAATTTGTTTCATATGCACCTTCGATGTTTCAACAGTACAACATTATCTGAATACATATCTTGTGTTTCAACATAATTCATACATTAACACTGACACCAAGGTACAAGGGATGTAAGAGTTTCAAATCATGACATGAACAAAAACAGAACATCAGACGGCTTCATAGAAGAGAAGAAGACAACATTATACCGAATATGCACCTTCGAGGTTTCAACATAATCATTCCTAGAGCTAGATCAATAGATGATTTGAGAAAAAAAATAAGCTAATATGTTTCATATGCTAAAGTAGAAGTGAAAATTATTTTGCCTACTAATTACCTGTCTATGGCATATGTTTGTTCCACAAAGAGCTGCGAGTGACCAAGTAAAACACCGACCATTACAATGGAACATGGGTAGTGTCCACAAGTATACAGCTCCTTCATTCATCCCCCATATGAGAGGATTACTCAAATACATGAGATATGCACCTCGGTGATGTAATACAACCCCTTGGCTGGCTGTCGTGCCGGAAGTGTAACTCAAAGAAATGCTTTGCCACTCATCCTGAGGAGGCTTCCAAGCAAACTCAGGGTCACCACTTTCTAAGAACTTCTCATAGTCAATAGCTCCTTGTCCCAATGCATACCTCAGTGTTTTCGGATTACAGCTTCCGTCAGCAATGACAATCAAAAGTGGGGGCTTGAAATTGCCGTGGCTTTTCTCCTTCATGATTTTCAAAGAATCCTCTGCCAATGTGAAAAACCCTTGGTCGACAATGACAACAGCAGATCGTGAATGACTCAAAAGGAAAGCAATTGTTGACGCATTCAGTTGAATATTGACAGGGTTTATAACAGCACCAGACATCGGAATTCCAAAATGAGCTTCATATGAAGCAGGGACGTTTGGTGCTATTACTGCAACCTGCCAATAATAAAATGTAATCAGAACAAATAAAATATACTATAACAGCGCAAAGAACCAGCAAAGTTGCATAAAGCAGTCCATTATGTAAACTATCAATACACAATCATTGGAAGCCAAAATTCGCATGCTAATTCAGACTTAAAACTAAGGATTGAAGAACTGTGCTAAAACATCCAATAATTTATGATATTCTAATTTCAAAATAAATTATAAATAAGTCAAAAGTGTGCAAAATCACTAGTATTTGTAACCTATTCTTTAAAACCTTAACATTTTTCAATAGATTAGCACAGACATCCACCAATTCTCATCAAATATTAAAACAAATACACAGAATCTTCTCTAAAGCAAAAATAAAATATGTATATGTACATGATGCATTTCTATGCATTTAAATAGTAACAGCACCAAAGTACATACAGGGAATCAAATATATTCACGTTTCGGTTTTTTATAGTAAAATTTGATCAACAGATGCCAT